TGTCTTATCTTTGTATTTTATTTGGTATCAGATAATTATATGTTTTGGTTTTTGCATTTAAATTTATATAATCAATAACCATTCTGCTTTTTCCTCTTTTTTGTTCACTATGCTTATTTACGATAAATGCCGGGCTTGTGTGCTTACTATTGCTTTCTTGTATATATCCTTTTTCTAGTAATTCATTTATATGTATCCTAAATTCGGTTAAATCATTAAAATTATACTTTAATGGTTTTTGGGTTATTATACTATTATTATCAATTAACTCAATTTTTACTTTTGTTTTATGTTTCTCCCATCCTTGTAGAGGATCCTCACTATATAATAATTCTAACTTATTTTGAATTATTTTTACTTTATCTATAGAGAATATAATTAATTCTATTTTAGGGTGTTCTTCTTTTATATTTTCTAATTTTTGTGTAATTTTTTCACTTCCTTTTATCCATTCTGTTGTTTTTCATTTTTTATTATTTTCTCTTTTTGCTCCTATTTTTTGTTTACACGGTGTCGTGAACCACCAGTGTGTTTTTGTTATTATATGTGGGAATAATTTTTCTAAAATGGCATTCCTAATAGCATATCTTTTGTAGTTAATTCAAAGTTATATATTTCTTCTATAGTTAATATCTTATCCCATATTTGTATTTTTATATTTTTGTCTTATATGTAATCATGCTTCCTTCATTATTAAATCTTGTTACTACTATCGGTGTTTTTAATTTTTCCCACTTATCTTCTGGTAAACAATTGTATTTACATATATTAGCTTTTGCGTCCATATCTATCATTGGTGTATAATATCGGTTGTAATATCCTTCTATTATTATCTTTGCAAGTATATATATTTTCATATTTTTATTATGCTAAAGTCCTTTTTATTATTACGCTTTTATTTTTTCATAATTTATTGTTAACTGTTTGTCTTCTAGATTATATGGTTTTACTTGTTCTAGCCATTTTATTCCTAAAATGATATTTTCATTTCCTTGATATATTTTGAATTTTATCACTATTGGTACTCCTCCAATGATTATTTCCTTTTCTGTAGTTTCTTCGGTATACATTAATGCTTTTGGTAGTTCGGGGCATGATTGTTCAATAGTTATTATTTCATCTTCCGTCACTAATTCTCTTGTAATATAGTTTTCTTCTCGTCCTGTATCTATTAATATTAAATATTTTCGTTGTTCCATTATTCCCGTTATGTAGTAATGATGTGGTTTTATTTCTTCTTCCATTGATTTTTGTGGAGTTTTATCTATTCTTCTTGAGGTACTCTTTTTTTATGATATTTGGGGTATCTCATTGTTTATTCTTTTCGATGTGATTAGTCTTTCTTTTACTATTTCTAAATTTTCTTCTATATCAATTTCATTATAACTATAATCATTTCTATCTTTGACTGTAACTATCCTTTCAAAGGGATCTTCTATTTTTATTTTATCTATTTTATTTTTTGCTGTTATTTTATGTTTTGTTGTTAGAACATATAAGTTTTTACATCTGGCTGTAAATATTTTTACTTCCTGGGGCTATTTCTATCCCTGACATTCGCCAGTATAATACTAGTTATTTATCTATATTTCTGTCATTTATTGCTACTGAGTAGTTAGCACTTATTATAAATTTAAATTTTTGGTATATGAGGTTCCCTCTTACTGCACTTATTATACTTTTTTCTATGGGTTGTATAATTCTATCATCCGAAAAATATATTTCTATGGCTGTATCTATTCCTTTTCTAAAACATGCTTTTATTAATATTTTTGTTCCTCCTAAATGTACATATTTAATTGGATTTTTAGCCTTAATATCATGTATTTCTTTATTTATTATTCGTTTATTTATTATTGGTATTTTGGCCTTTCCTTTAGTGTAGTTGCAATCTATGTTATGTTCTCTTTGACTTACTATATAATATTCTTCTTTTTGTCGTTTAAAGCAGTTTCTTATTGTTGATATTTCGAATATTTTTGCTACGATTAGGTCTAATTCTTTTCCTTTTATTTGTTCAAATATACTATTATCAAATATTATTTTTTGTTCTGAAGATTCTTCTTCTTGATGTTCTTCTTTATTTATTATTTGTATGTCTGCTTCAGTCATTTGTTATATTATAGAATTCATTATCTGATTCTATTTCTATGTTATTATCTATTTCATTTTCTGATATTTCATATATGCTATCTTCACTTTCTAATTCATAATCTATGTATTCTATCTGCGTATATTTTTCATCGTCTATTATTATTTCTGATATTTGTTTTTTCTTTGGATTTTTAGTTAATTTACAATCTCTAGGTATATGTCCTAATTTTCCACAATTATAACAAATACATTCCGTTAGTTTTCTTTTTGGTCTATATGGTCTTTTGGTTTTATAAATTTTTACATAGTACCTTCTCCTTGGTTTTTTATATTTATATTTTGATCTGTATTTTTTATTATATTTCTTTTTATTTTTATAATACATATCCGTACAACCAAATTGAGGTGCTGTTTTATTTTTGCAACATGCCAAGTTTTTTACTAATATTTTTTCCATTTTTATTTCTTCTTTATGTTTTTCACATAGTTCCATAAACCATCGTTGCAAGAATTTCATTCTAGCTCCTAAGGTGTCTATTAATTCTGCTTCATTCCAACTTTTTATTATTTTTGAATTAAAAGGTTCTGGTAATTTTGTAAAATATAATTTTCTTATTTCTTTACTTTCTTCTGTGCTATATGTTTATTTATAATAGTATTCTCTAAATGCACATGTATATTCATATATGTAACACATATTACATATTGCTAATTTTGTCATTAGATTCCGATTTATGATTCTTTCTTTATTTTGTTCTTCTACCTCTGTTGTAATACTACTAAATTCATTTCTTATAGCTATTTCGTATTTATATAATATTTCCATAGTTGTAGTGGCTATTTCACCATTAATTTTTTTATTATTTCTTAAAGTTGTTAAGCTTTCACTTGTTAAATTTTGTAATCATAATTTTACTGTTTCTATAAGTGTTCTTTCTATGTATCCTGGTGCCTCTGTTATTATTATTTTGTTATCTATTAATTGTTTTGATATGTATCCTATCCATAATTAGATTGTTTTATTTATATCTGCTACACAGTCTAAATCTAAAAAATCATGTTGTCGAGTTATTGGTTTAGGCGTCCATTTTTTACTTAATCTTTTATCCCATGTAGTTTTTTCTTTATCATATTGTTCATAATTTTCATTATAATATTTTGGATTAGAATTTTTTGGGTTTTTTACTCCTGATGTGCTAGGTTTTTCGTCCATGTCTACGTTTTCTGTATTTACTTCTAAATTCTTTGTATTATCTATGTTTGCTAAAAGTTCCGTATATGTTTCGCTTGTTTCCGAATGTTGTTCTAGATCATTGTCGTTTATTTCATCAATTCTTATTTCGGGTAGATTATCTTGGCTATTTTCTTCTTTTTCTTGTAATTCATCTTGTAATTGCAATTTTTCTTTAAATTTAACTATCTCAATTGCTAATTTTGTTTTTTGTTCTTTTTCTTTTTGTTTAATTTCATACATTTCTTTTAATATTGCTAGCTCTTTTTCTAGCTCTATTATTTTAGTATTTTTTACTTCTTCTAATTGTTGTTTAATTTTTCAATTTCTGTTTTTCTATCTATTTCTTCATTTTCTTTTGTTATTCTTATCATAGCAGTTAAACTATCTTCTAGTTTTACCGTTTCTTTTTCTAACATTAAACTTATATTGTCACCTATTTTCTTATATCTTGTTCCTAGATTAGAAAATATTATCTTTATTTTTAATACGTCATAATTTTCATATGTTTTTTCATCTATTACGTATTCTTCTTTATTCATTTATAAATTATGTTGTAGTTTATATTCTAAGTTATTTATTTGTATTTCTAGTTATAAAATAGTCTTTCTTTGTGCCATTATAGATTTGTGACAAATTCCTGCGAATATATTATTGTTAAGTCTATTTTGCCTATATTCTAATTCTTGTCTTTTTGATATAATTATTTCATTAAGTTTTTGTCCATATTCGTTATTCTCGTTATTCATTGTATTTTTAAGTATTGAATATATTTATATTCTATTTTAGATATATTATCTATTAATTGATCTAATTTTTCGTTATCAGTCTTTGTGATTTTAAGTTGTTTATATTTCAGATATAATTTGTTTAATTTTCTTCTTATTTTTCTTAATTTTCTACTCGTATGTTTCTTACCATGTTTCTTATTATCCATAGCTCTGTAATTGAGGCCGGTAAGTTAACTTGCGAGCTAAATGACTTGGTGATTAGCTATCAAATGAATGGGAGGGGAAAAAGACATCTCACATTCATAAAAAATGATAGGCACGTGAGCTTGTACATGTTAGATATTGGTATTGATGGCTCTAGACCTATATTGAGGATAAATGTCAATGTGATTCCTCCAATTGAACCAACAAATTCATTTAACGACGACAATGATTCAATTGGAAATGAAAGATTGGGTGATCATTCAAAGGAGAGCTTGGGTAATAATTCAAATAAGAGTTTGGGTGATCATTCAATGAATATACATAATGATCAAACTAACGTGGGAAATCAACCAGTAGATGCGGAAGATCCCGAACTCGAATGTTGTGAAGAAATGCAGGGAGAACAAGAATTGGGATCACAATCCAACCATTCCTTCTCTGATGGAACTAATTTACGCATAAACCAAACTTTCAGTAACAAAAATGAGTTGCATTTGTTATTAGCCGAAGCGGCGGCAAAGAAGTCTTTTTATTTTGCTACTGTGAAGAGTTGTACTAAATACTTAAAGGTGAAATGTGTATCTCGCAATAGTGCATAGATGTTGCGGGCGAGAAAATATGAGTGTTCGGATAGATTTCGTATCTACAAGTACATTGGCGAACATAGTTATGGCGTTGAACATACCAACAGTAACCATAGAAAAATTTCAATCAAAGTCATAGCTTCACTTTGTGTAAATATGTATCGTGATGGCAAGGTTCCAAATGTTAAAGAGATTCAAAGAGCTATGTTTAATTTTTTTCATTGTAGTCCAAGCTATTGGAAATGTTGGAAGGGTGGTGTGGTTGCAAAGGAAATAGCCCGAGGGACAGCGGAGAACGGAAATTCATGCAAACCGGTTTTTTCCTGCATGTTCGAGACACTTAATGTTGGTTCTAGTTATTGTATCATGGTAAGCAAGGATAGTCATAGGTTCATGTATTATGTCTTGGCCTTCGGTGCTTGCATTAAGGGATTTTCCCACATAAGAAAGGTAATTGTGATTGATGGCACTCATTTACATGGTAAATACGAGGGCGTGTTGTTGACCGCTGTTGCACAAGATACAAAGACTCATGTTTATCCAATTGTCTTTTGTGTTGTGGACAAAGAGAATGATGCATCTTGGACATTCTTCTTTGAGAAGTTGAAGGAGATTGTGGTCGATGAACCATATTTGTGTTTTATCTCCGATAGACACAAGAGTATCGCCAACGGTATTGTGAACATTTACAATCATGCTCAGGTATTGTGAACATTTACAATCATGCTCACCACAGATATTGTATGAGGCACCTCGGTGAAAATCTTTGCGTAAATCATCATTGTGGAGATTACATTTATCTTTACTACAATGCGGCAAAGACTTATTCTTTGGAGGAGTTCGACAATCATTTTGTAGAATTCAAGAATAAATGCCTCGCGACAGTCATCGTTCTTGAGTATGATATTGGTTTTGAGAAGTGGAGCAGGGCACATTATCCTGGCAATAGATATGATGTGATGACCACAAATATCGTCGAGTCACTCAATGCTATTTTGATAAACGAAAGGGAGTATCCTGTGGCAGCAATATTTAATTCGATTACTAAGAGGTTTGGAGAAATATTCAGGGAGAGGCCTGCATATATCCTTAAATCAATGGTTAATCAAATGGTGCCTTCTGCCAAAAAAATCGCAAGAAATAAAATGATTGAGGGCGACTCCTTATATGTAGAGAACATAATCAGGGATGACAATCAATTTATCGTGTTCGGTGCAGGTCTTACTGCCTATGTGGACAGGCCTATTGGAAAAGTCAAGTTCTTGTAGGGAATATGACTTGATCAAGATACCTTGTGCTCACGCGATGGCCGCTTTGCGATCAAAGCATGGCAATGAGTATGGTATGAGCATTTATGAGTACTCTTCGCCTTTGTATAAAGTTGAAGCGTACCTTCTTGCATACATGAATTCTATTAATGTTGTCCCTCTCGAGTTGGAATGGTGTGCGCCAGAAGAATTGCTTAATGTGAAGATTCTTCTGCCTCTTGTCGATACCAAACTTGGAAGAAAAAGAAGAAAATGTGTCAAAGGAGTCAGTGAGAATTTCAAGAGCAAGAGAAGGAACAAATTTCTATTTGTAAGAGAACCGGACACAAGAGAACTACATGTGTGAACAACAACAAATCTTAAACAAGTTTGATTGAATTTGTTTTTGTAATCAAGCTACTGTTTTTTTTTGCTACTAGCATTTTGGTCAATTTAGTGTCCGCTATTATTGTAATTAGTCATGATCTAATATAGATCAATCAAAAGTTGACATACATTTTGTATGCTATCTATTAATGTTTATTATCGAGTCCACCCGTTCTCTATTAAACTGTGTATTATTAATATATAAAAAAATTCATGGTATTCGTGATGTAATTATTTTAATACATGAATTAGAATGATTAAAGAAGGAAGTGTTGTAAAAAAAAAAGGTCATGATCTGAAGTTGTGTATTTTAATGCATGTGTATTATTATTATCAGGCAAGTTAGTTTTAATGCACCAAATCAAACTATCCATAAGAAAATAATATAAGTATAACTAATCCAAAAATGACTAATACAAACATTATCTGAATATACACTCTACCAAACGACCCTTAAAGAATTATCAAAAAATTATATATTACTGTTGAAATTTGTATATCAAAATATGTACTGGTTGTCAAAATATATAGACCTCTTATACAATCGATGCATCTATATGTATGTGGTGTGTGTATGACCAATGATATTTACACTCTGACATTACTAAAGTATATTCGGGTTTATATCTATGTTAAAGCATTGTCGATATTGCACCTACTAGAATATGACACTTATATTTAGACCAAAACTAGTAGAATTTAAAAAAGACAACAATTAATTAATAATAAATTATATTTTTGAAATTTATCCAATTAAATAAGTTTAAACAAGTCATATAATCATGTAAGAGTCCACATAAATTGGGTGTGGTGATTAGAGATGTATGAGGAAGAGTTGTGGCTATACAATCAACATCCTTAAAACAATGTTTGAGAAAGCATGAGTATGTTGTGAGGATGATCACATGTTGTTCAACCACACATTGTTGATTGCCACCCCCAATTTATGTAGACTCATATATGATCACATGCTTATTCTAATGATGTTGATTGTAAAACCACACATAACAAGTGATATCCTTACAACATACTTATGCTTTCTCAAATATTGTTCTAAGGATGTTGATTGTATAACCACAACTCTTCCTCATAAATCTCTAATCACCACACCCAATTTATGTAGACTCTTACATGATCATATGACTTGTTTAAACTTATTTAATTCAAAAATATAATTTATTATTAATTAATTGTTGTCTTTTTTAATTTCTACTAGTTTTGGTCTATATATAAGTGTTGATCTTAGGCATATTTACATTCATAGAAATCTAATAATGCCCATATTTAAGCTAAGTTTTAATTCAATATGTGTTTGTTTATAGTCTTATCGAGTCTTTTGGTTGTTTATGAGCTAACCAACATGATTAGTTGTGTAGGTGATCTTAATTGGAGAAACGAGCATGAAAATGGACAATGGAGGAACACAAAAGATCCAAGTCAAAAGAAGGCAAGGAAGAAGCTGGAGGAAATGTCACTTAAGGCATCTCCGTATCCTTTCCGCATCGTGGAGAGGAATTATAATTTGGCTTGTGAAACACAATATTTAGGCAGAGTTCTCCGTGCCCTCTCCGCGTCTAGGAGAGGGAGTCCTGAATTTATTCATTGAGGGGAGTTTGAGGCAGAACACTCCTGTAGTGCTCGTGTCGTGGAGAAGAGAAAATTATCTCATAACAAAATCAGAGAGGGCCTCCGCGTCGCGCCCCTTGTCCCAGTTTTGGTCGTTTCAACTTTTAGTATAAATAGTTAAATATTTTATTTTATTATGGATTTTTTTTCTGGGTTTTGAAGAACGACGACTTGGGAGTACGTTTTAACCATTTTTAGGGTTCTTTCCTAAACTTTTTTCCTTTCGATCTCTTTATGATTATTGAACATTGCTTGATAGTATCTTGGATTATGAGTAGCTAAATACCCTAGTTCTAGGGCTGTGGCTACAAGATTATTGTAATCTAATAAATTTTCATTGGGTGAATGTCAATTATTATATGAATCTTTCTTATGTTCTTGCTTTTTGTATTTCGTGATTGATCACCATTGAAATAAATATATTGTCCAAATTGAACTCGGGAGAGGAAAGAACGTGGGACATAAGGAGCATAATTAATTCTAAATAACCAACGTTAATTTGTATCTAGGATGGATATACCTAGAAACCATGCTTGGGTCACTATACATGAAGAAATCGTAATGATCGGTACTTAATCCATCATATCCCCGCTCAACGATGTAGTTAGGGTGTTGTTTATCGTAGGCGATTAGAGGTCGGGAGACCATGATCATACATTTAACCCTATGATTCATTGATTCGGTAGTTGATATAAGCCTATTTAAATGATATTAATTGCATGAATCCTGATAAAAGTTGCAGCCCTAAGCTTTACCCAATCATTATTTTTAAACCTTTGAAATTGAATCGCGTTTGTTACATTTGGTTACAATTCTAGAATTAGAAACTAAATCACCTTTGAAATCTTGGTAACACTTGTGATTAGCTTAAAGTTAGAGAAATTGAGTGATTCTAAACATAAGTCCATGTGGGTACGATACCCGGCTCTTTATAAGAGCCACTTTAATACTTGAACGACCACGTGCACTTGCGTATGCTATTTAGACGCAACAAGCTTTTGGCGCCGCTGTCGGGGACTTTAGAATTAGAAATTATCAATTTTTTCTGATTTCTGAAGTTAAAAATCAAGTGTTAACAACTTGATCTTAGCAATTCATTGTTGCAAGTTATTTTGGAGCTTCAAACTGGACGACGATCAAGGATTGGTATCACCTCTAGCTGAACCGGAAAGATTCGTTCAATACCGAAGTAGGCAAAGACGACTCACATACCCAGTCCCTCTTGTTGCTAGTGAACCAACATCTCCAATAACAAGTGTTGAGCAAGAGGAACCTGAAATAATAATGGTTGAGATGAAGGTAAGAGACGTGGCAATCCCACGTCCCACCAATGTGACTTCATGCATTCAGAAACCCGAAGTTGGTGGAAGATTTGAATTAAAGCAGAGTATGGTGCAACTATTGCACACCAATAGGCAGTTCACTGGTCTGTCGCACGAGGATCCAACAGTTCACATTCATAATTTCCTCGAGATCAGTGATACTTACACTCCAGCTGGAGTGAATGTGGATTATGTGAGGCTCACTTTATTCCCTTTTTCTCCACTTGGGGAAGCAAAAAGATGGTTTAACTCTGAGCCCGCTAACGCTATAACCTCCTGGAATGATCTAGCACAGAAGTTCCTCATTAGATTTTTTCCATCTCGGAAAACAACTAAGTTGAGGAGTGACATCTTAAGTTTTAGACAGAAAGGGGGGGAGAACTTGTACCAAGCTTGGGATAGGTTTAAATCGATGTTGATAAGCTGCCTACATCATCATCAATCTAATGAGGTGTTGGTCCATACCTTCATTGAAGGATTGGAGCCTAACACCAAAATTCTACTTGGTTCAGCTGCAAGTGGCCAGGCTTTGGAGAAGACATATGCTGAACTATTCACCTTGCTGAACAGGATCTCTCAGGGCAAGTCTGAATGGAACGGAGGAGGGGTGAAACTAGTGATTCAAAAAACTGCAGGTATGCTAGAGGTAGATGTCGTGACTGCCTTAACTGCACAGATTGCTGCCATGCAGAATATGATGAACACCCACTTCAGAAATTAGCATTGTGACAATTGCCCACGCAGGTAAATGTAGTTCAACAACCACCATCTTAGTGTGAGATCTGCGGAGGGGTGATCATAGTGCAGAGGTATGTGGTGCAAACCTGGACTCTGTTACTTTTGTAGGTAATGCCCAACAAGGAGGAGGCCAGCAAAATTATGGAAACTCTTACAACCTGAGTTGGCGCAACCACTCAAACTTTTCCTGGGGTGGAAATCAAAATCAGGGTCAAGGCAAGAATCAGTATAGACCCCAAGGAAATGCACAAGGGTACCAACCACAGGCTCAACGGGAGCAGTCTAATAAGTAGTCTGGTAACATGAGCATGGAGGAGATGCTGAAAAAAATCATGGCTTATCAAGCCCAGTTAGCTACTGATGTGAGAAATAATCAGTTGTCTACACAGAATCTGGAGAAGCAATTCGGGCAGTTTGCTAGTGCCCATAACTCACGGCTGCAAGAAGGTTTGCCAAGTGATACTGATCCAAATCCCAAGCAGGTAAACGTGGTAGGTACTCGCAGTGGTTTGCAATTGGAGGAGTTAGCTCCTAAGAAAAGGAACATTGAAACTGAGAATAAAGAAAGCGAACCCAATGAAGGTGAAGTTGTTGCACAAGAAGAAAGAGTGCAACCAATAGTGAAACCACCTCCTCCATTCCCTCAAAGGTTCAAGAGACAGAAGGAGGATGAATATTTTGGTAAGTCCTTCCTCTTTTGAAACAAGTTCACATTAACTTGCCATTGGTCGATGTTTTGCAGGGTATAACCATGTATGCGAAATATGTGAAGAAGATTGTGGAAAATAAAAGGAGACTGACTGAATATGAAACCGTTGCACTTACTGAAGAGTGCAACTCCAGGATCCAAAATAGGTTGCCCACTAAACTGAAATATTTGGGTAGCTTTACGGTTCAGATCACTAAAGGGCAGAGCATTCATGCGCGAGGATTATGTGATCTAGGAGCTAGTATAAATTTGATGTCAACGTCTCTGTACAAAAAGATGGGGTTGGGTAGTCAAAAACCTGCTACCATCATCTTATAGTTGGTTGATAGATCTGTAGCTAGGCCTGAGGTTGTTGTAGAGGATGTTTTAATGCAAGTGGGATCATTGATTTTCCCAGTAGATTTTGTTGTGATGAATTTTGAGCCAGATCCTGAGGTCCATTCATCTTAGGAAGACCTTTATTAGTTACTGAACGGGTTATGATAGATGTAGCAGCTGGGCAACTTACTATGCGAGCACATGATAAAGTGGAGGTGTTCGACGTGTATAAATCATTAAAGCTACTAGCTGTGTATGAGGAGTTATCTGCCATAACGCTGATAGATCTTGAGGCAGAGTCTAGCTACATTGCATCTAAGGACCCTTTAGAGCGAGTGTTAGTAGGGGATGATATTTATGGGGATGCTGAGGCACAAGAAATTGTGCAATTTCTTGATGTGGCATTTGTAGGTACATCTGGAGATCGATGAGAGCCTTTAAATAGGGTGTTGGGTCCTCCACCCAAGCCCTCTATTGAAGAAGCATCTCAGCTGGAGTTAAAAGCATTGCCACCCCACCTCAGGTATGTATTTTTGGGTAAAAATAAAACTTTATCGGTTATTTTGTCTGCAGCATTGTTTGAAGCACAGGTGGAAGCAGCATTACTTATCCTGAAGAAGAGGAAAACAGCTCTGGGTTGGCAAATGTCTAACATCCATGGGATTAGTCCCACGTTGTGCATGCATAAAATATAGATGGAGGAAGGGCGTAAGCCGAGTGCACAGTATCAGCGGAAACTAAACCCATTGATGAAGGATGTAGTAAGAAAATAGGTGATCAAGTGGTTGGATGCAGGGATTGTGTACCCACTATCAGACAGTAAATGGGTAAGTTCAGTATAGTGTGTGCCAAGAAGGGCGGAATGATGGTGGTGACTAATGAGAAGAATAAGTTAATCCCCACAAGAACAGTGACTGGGTGGCGGATCTGCATGGACTGCAGAAAGTTGAATGACGCCACCAGAAAGGACTATTATCCGGTACCTTTCATTGATCAAATGTTGGATAGATTGGCAGGTCAGGAATACTACTGTTTTGTTGATGGTTACTCAGGGTACACTCAGATTGTCATTGCACCAGAGGACCAGGAGAAAACCACCTTCACTTGTCTGTATGACACATATGCGTTCAAGTGCAAGCCATTCGGTTTGTGCAATGCCCCGGCCATATTTCAGAGATGTATGATAGCGATCTTCCATGATATGGTGGAGGATTTTGTTGAAGTATTCATGGACGACTTCTCAAGTTTTGGTGAGTCTTTTGAACTTTGTTTGACTAATCTTGACAGAGTTCTTACTAGGTGTGAAGAAAAAGATCTGGTTCTAAACTTGGAGAAGTGTCACTTTATGGTTCAAGAGGGAATTGTGTTAGGGCATAAGATCTCCAAAAATGGGCTGGAAGGTGACAAAGTCAAGGTAGAGGTTATTGAGAAGTTGTCACCCCCCATCACAGTGAAGGGAGTTAGAAGCTTCCTAGGACATACTGGGTTTTATAGGAGGTTCATCAAGGACTTATCTAAGACTACAAGACCCTTGTGCAGTCTGTTAGAGAAAGAGATGAAATTTGTGTTTGATGAGAAGTGTTTGCAAGCATTTGAGTAAAGAAAAAGTTGATAGAAGCTCCTATTCTGATTGCTCCAAATTGGGAGCTTCCATTCGAACTTATGTGTGATGTCAGTGACATAGCAGTTAGGGCAGTGCTTAGGCAGTGGAAAGATAAGATATCTCATTCCATCTACTATGCAAGCAAGACACTTGATGTAGCCCAATCAAATTATATTGTTACTGAGAAGGAGATGTTGGCATTAGTGTTTGCGTTTGATAAGTTCAGATCATACTTGGTGGGAACCAAAGTTATAGTCTATATTGAACATGCTGCAATTCGATATTTGTTTAACAAGAAAGATGCCAAGCCGAGGCTGATTAGGTGGATTCTGCTACTACAAGAGTTTGATCTAGAGATAAGAGATAGGAAGGGAACTGAGAACCAGATAGTTGATCATCTCTCCAGACTAGAGGATTCATCTCATGTGAAAAATGAGGGGTAAATTCATGAAGAGTTTCCTGATGAGCAATTTCTTGCTTTGGACCTTGCTTAAGTGCCTTGGTATTCTGATATTGTGAATTTTCGGGTGAGTGTTTTATTTCCACCTGGGGCCTCAGCACATAAAAAATAGAGGCTGAAGTATGATGCACGTTTCTATGTATGGGATGAGCCCTTCTTATTCAAGTAGGGACCTGATCAAATGATGAGAAGGTGTATAGCTAAACAGGAGGCAACACAAGTGTTGGAGAGTTGTCACTCTTCACCATATGGTGGACACCACAGGGGCGAACGAACTGCACATAAGGTATTACAATCTGGCTTCTTTTGGCCTACTCCTTTTAAAGATGTTGTTATGTTTGTGAAGGGTTGTGATCAGTGTCAGAGGATGGGCACCATTTCGAGAAGGCATGAGATGCCATTGAGCAACATATTAGAGGTGGAAATCTTTGACGTCTGGGGATAGACTTCATGGGACCATTCCCATTGTCCCATGGAAATCAATACATTCTAGTCGCAGTGGACTACGTGTCTAAGTGGGTGGAGGCTGTTGCATTGCCATCCAATGACTCAAAGGTGGTCGTGAAATTCATCTAAAAGCACATCTTTACCAGGTTTGGAACTCCAAGGGCTATGATCAGTGATAGAGGTACGCACTTTAATAATAGTTCAGTGCGAAATTTATTAGCCAAATATGGGGTGAGACACAAGGTGGCTACATCATATCACCCCCAAACTAGTAGGCAGGTGGAAGTGTCTAATAGAGAAGTCAAGCAGATTCTCTAGAAGACGGTGAATGCCCAAACAAAAGATTGGTTTGACAAGCTAGATGATGCATTGTGGGCATATCGGACTGCATACAAGACACCGATAGGGATTTCTCTTTATTGAATAGTGTTTGGGAAAGCGTGTCACTTACCAACTGAATTGGAGCATAAGGCATATTGGGCGATCAAGAAGTTGAATCTGGATGCTGAGTTAGCCAGAAGGAAGAGAATAACGCACCTGCACGACTTAGAGAAGTTCAGGCTTCACGCCTATGAGAACGCTAAGTTGTACAGAGAGAAGACCAAGAGGTGGCATGACAAGCATATTGTGTCACGCACCTTTGAGCCTGGTCAACTAGTGATGTTGTTTAACTCGAGGTTAAAATTGTTCCCCGGAAAGCTTCGGTCTAAGTGGAGTGGTCCTTTTGAAATTGTGACAATAACCCAACGTGGTGTTGTGGAGTTAAGAAACAAGGACAAGAGCTCTACTTTCCTTGTGAATGAACAAAGGGTCAGGCACAATTTCAGAAATGATGTGGATCGTGAGCTTGAAGCGCTCACTTTAAATGACGAATGAGTCATGAGATGGGTCGTGCCACGATGTTAAATCAGGCGGTACACGGGAGGCAACCCGTGAACCCTTGTAATAGTTAGGATTTCTTTACTTTTGTTTTATTATTTTAGTTCTTAGGATTTAGGGGAAAAAATGAAATATTCAGAAAAATAAAAAAATATGAGTCGTGCTACAACCAAAACTAAGGCGTTGGATGAGAGGCAACCCATCATGTTTTAACTAATGGGTTGTATGCTGAAATTTTGTAGTAAGTGGGAATTTACCCCAAGGCAGCTCCGTGCAGGAGCCACGTC